AACAGCCTGGCCGGGCGTGGCTCAGCGGTTGGGCATTGACCTCGGATCCAGGAGATCAGTTCGATTCCCGATCAGGGCACATGCCAGGGTTGTGGGCTCGATCCCCAGTCAGGGGTGTGCAGGAGGCAGCCGATCAATGACTCTCTCACCATTGGTGTTTCTATCTCTCTCTCCACCTCTCTGAAATCAATATAGATTTTTTTTAAAAATGAACAGTTGTCTCTAAGCAAACAACTCAAATGCCACCTCTTCTAAGAAGTCTCCCCTGATCGCCCATCAGAAGGCCCTACTCCTTCTCTGACCCATCATCCATCCCTCTGAAGGGACATCTCCCCTTCTACCAGGTCTGAGCAGCAGCACTGAGATCCTCCTCTCCCCCTCGCGTACAGGATCTAGCAGAGGCTTGAACACACAGGCACTCACTAAATCTTTGTGGAATAAATGCACATATGGCAACAGTTCTCCTGTGTGTGCTTTTCTGGAATTACTGCCTAAACCCAATTTATAAATGTGTGCCCGTAAAACTAAATCACAAGTTGTTTGGGATTTATTTATTCTGACACCAACTCCAATTCAACACAATTCCAGGACACACAACACCTACAAGCATTCTCACTTTCTAGCCCACATTTCAAAGACAATAAAGAGGGGGAATTTTTCACAGTCATTTTCAATTCAGCATAACCTAAGCTTACAACATTATGTGTTCTCATTATCTTTTACTTTCTTGTAAACGAGCCAAATCTCTTTAGTATTTCCATTTCTTAACTTCTTGTTGAGGGGTGGATTTTTTTAAATGTATCAAACAACTTCAAAGGTAATGGCCTCAAGAAGGATTCCATGGTAAGAGCAGAACTTACGTTCTTGCAGCAAGCTATAACTGGGCATTTTTATGGTGGTTAAATCATGAAGAAAAAGCAAAAAGTGCCACTCCAGGAAAATGAATGAATCACAGAGCCTGAGAATGTTCCACTCCTAAGTAGAAAAACAAAAACACATTAACAACCAGACCTTTATAAAGCATTAACCCAACAATCAAAGAAACAGCCAGTCAAGACTCCTGTTCTCTCTTCTTTTATAGCCTAGTTTCTCGCAAGGGTAGGCTACACTTCCTTTTTGCAATTTCTACCTTCAACTTATATTCCAAGTCATTACAAGCCGGCTGCTGCCCATCCCACTGCAATTGCTCTCAACAACGTACCAAACTTGCCAGTTAAAAACTGAATGGACACCGAGACCCTACCCTGCTTGAGCCTCAGGGCATTTGCCACTGTCCCCACTCCCTTCCTAAACTCCCCTTTGTTTCCACTGAATGCCCTCCCCTGCTTCTCTCTGCACCTCATCCTGCGCCCACCCTGTACGCGTGGGTGGGTGTGCCCCAGGACTCTGTCCTTGACACTCCTCATTCCCACTCTCTCCCTGTACAATCTCACTGACTCCCTGATGGCCTCAGTGATGGCCCGGAAATCCTGTCATATTTCAAACCTACGCTTTCATTCATACAACAGACCCTCAGGCACTGCAAGCTTCACAAAGCCAAACTGAAATCATTTTCCTCCCAAACCTGCTCTTCCTGGTTAAATGGCACACCATCCATCCAAGCCAGAAATCTGGGATTCATCCTTAATTCCGGCCTCTCCCCCACGTGTCACGATCACATTGTCAGTTCAACCTCCCAAGCACCACGAGAAGTTGATCTCGCCTTTCCTGCCACTGCCTTAGTTCAAATTCCCATCATCTCTCCCGGGCTTCACTGCCCCAACCTAGTAACCATTCTCCTGACCTCAGACTTGTTCCCCTCAATCTCCAATTCATTCCCTTCCTTCTTCTCGAGTAATCTTCCTAAAGGTAAATCCTATCTTAATCCCCAACATAAACATTTTCCAAAAGCTCCCATTTGCCTTCAGGATTAAGATCAAATGAATGTGGAATGAAAGGCCTCGGCAATGTGCCTCATGTGAACGTTTTCAACCTACTCTCCATGCACTCCCTTCGCTCCACTGTCATTAACCAGCAGGCTCTCTCAGGAGCAGCTCTGGAACCTCCTGTCCTCCCGTCTCACCCGGGCCTCCTCTGCTGTGGTGAATCATCCCGCTCCTCCTTTACGATACAGCTCAGAGACCATCTCTGAGCACCATGAGCCACTGCTCTATGCAGTGCTCCTCACACTGTACGGATCACAGCCCCTGTCCTTTGTCCATTCCCCCAGTAACAGACGAGACCCTTAAGGAAGGCGGTCTACGTGTTCCACACCTGTGAATCGCCACCGCTACTGAAGAGGCTGGGCGCAATGACGCCAGCAACAAATGATAACACGGAAATCTGCCTACCTTACACCACCAAGCACTACTATAGCATCATGCCTGGCTTTCCCCACTACTACATTCCTTTGAATTGTGAGATGATGTCAAAGACAAGATATATCCCAATTTCATAGACATTAAAAGGTGAAATACTGTAGTCTAAAAAAGATGGCATATTAAGTAAAATAATTATAAAAACTTACATACTGTCATCAGATTAGAAAAGCATTTTAAAAGTCCAAGTGCTAGAAAACGATGCTTAAATGAAGGCAGCTTATATATGTTCTCTCAAAATACTACAATAATTCTCCTTTGAAACGTCCATAAGAAAGTGTTCTATATCCTGGTTGTGGTAACCAAAACACAAATCTATTACTAAAATTCATAGAACTAGAAAATACAGTCATGAGAAATATTTTAAATGTCTATTAAATACGTCCACCCTCTTAGGCCCATTCGAATCCCTGCTCCCCCACCCTCCAGGCCTGGACTCCCTCTTCACAGACCCCACAGGAACCCAAAGAGGACACGTATGTCTCCTCTGACACTCAGTCCATTTCATGAGCAATGACTTAAAACCTGAGATGACCTGTCTCCAGGCCCATCTCCTGACTACTTTCATGTTCCAGCCCAGGCTTCCTGCTGCTAATATAGTGCCCTGTTCTCCTTCCAGCCGTCTTCAGCTCTCCCAGCTCCATTGCTGCCAGCTCAACTCCAGCCTCTCCCCGCTCATCTGCCTCCCACCTCACTCCACTGACAGTGTGTCCATCCCCTGTCCACTGTACCCTCTGAAACCTGAACTCTACTGGGCAGGGGGCAGGGGAAAGAGCTTCACCTGTTATCCTGACACTTATTTACCTCTTCCCCAGGGCACATAGGGTCTGCTTTGAAAGGTTAAAACTACCCAAACATGGTAAACATAGAGCCCATCATCATCAGATTGTCCTTGGAAAACTGAGCAAGCCTTAATATTTGGGGTAAGGGGGACAACAGGATAAGCTTCACCAGAAGCTTCAGAGTGTCACCTGCCCACACTTCTAGCTGTTTTGAAAACAAGCCACCATTATCCCAGAAATGTCTGAGCCTGTTTCACTTGCTTGCCAGAGAGCCCAAAGGAATCTGAAAGCAATCATAGGAAGGTCCATACTGTCCGACCCATGAACTAATCCACTAAATGCAAGGAACGGATAGGCATTTCTCTAGACAATGTTTTAGGTCGTGCATCAATGAATATACATCTAACATATGGTAACTAACTGTACCTGTATGTTTTATAAATTAAGAATGTGAATGCTAAAAGTGATACTCTATTTGCTAATCAGGAAATGGAAGCACAGAGAGCTACTACCTAGTAAACTTAGGAGACAAGCATGAGAGGTGATCCATTCCAAAAAGACCAACTCCTACAAAATACATGCTAATCCCAAACAAAATGATTTTCATTACACAACTGATCTGAAGTAAAACCTATGGGGGGAAAGTGAGTTTAGGGAGTACTGTAAATTAGGCAGAACAGCTGCCAAGATGTGAGACTAATAAAGACCCACCAAGGAGAGGACATGTCACCTGAGTACATGACCACATACAGAAACACCTCAGAGGAATTAGTGGTAATAAGTGTGTCATAAGTTGGCTGTCTGGCGTGCCTGCATGACCTGAACTCTACTGGGCCAGAGGTAGGGGAAAGAGCTTCACCTGTTATCCTGACACTTACTTACCTCTTCCCCAGGGCAAATAGGGTCTGCTTTGAAAGGTTAAAACTATCCAAACATGGTAAACATAGAGCCCCAACATCATCAGATTATCCTTGGAAAACTGAGCAAGCCTTAATATTTGGGGTAAGGAAGACAACAGGATATTTTCAGTATTTCTTACAAAACATCAAGTTCTCCCCACCAACTTCTAAGCAGCAAATCCCTGCTCAGAGCTCACCAACCTCCCCACTCCTCCCCCAGGGAGGCACTCCAAGAACACAAAAAAGGAAGCCACCAAGGGATATGAAGCTAAGGTGCAGACATTGCAGAAATCATGGGCAGCTTGCAGACCACTTAAAGCTATTCTTTGCTATCACTGGGATCAAAACATAAGTGCATTATTTCTTTTAGCACATACCCCATTCTCTATTGCTTTGTCCCTATAGCTCCTATCACATGCAATTTTCTTCCTGTTGATGCAAATTCTATTTCCAACTCAGGGCTCTGTTTAACTCCGACCTGCAATCTCCAGGTTCTTTGGAAAACACTACCTGTTACCTTCCTCCCTTCTGAACACTAATACCACTTTCTTCAAACTCAAAGACATTTATGTACATATGCTTCAGACACATCTGTGTTTGTTTTTACAAAAAGCAGCACTGAGTCCTCTGCATAATAAAGCCATCATCCCCTATGTCAGGATGCTCTGCAATGAAACCATTTAATGACTGCTTAATTTCACTTTAGGCACATGATATGATGTACTTCACTAATCTTCTATTCTTATAATTACAGTGGTTTCCTATTTTAGGCTATTATAAGCAATCATGCAAAGAAGATACTTTCTTAAAATATATTTATGTATATATCCATCTGATGGTTTCCTTAGGATAAACTATTAGGAAAGGAATTGCTAAGCCAAAAGTCACACAGCCCACCACTACAGCTCTTTTAGGTCTTCTTATTCACATTGCCAATTTATCCTTCAAAAGAGTTACTCCAATTTACTTTTCTTTTTATTTATGCATCATTCAAAAAATATTTATTTTGTATTAGGCATTATCAACACAATCATTATTAACGTAACAGACGTGGTTCTTGCCCTCAAGGAGCTTACACTCTAAGGAAGAGACAGAAACCCACACCATCGCAAATCCTTCATTGCAGGCTGAGGTAAACTAGGAAGCAAAAGTACAGGGTTTTTCCAAGACCACTGGAATTAGTTCCCACAGGAATAATGGCTCTGAGCTGGGGCTAAGATTTCCTCTTGGAAATCAGGTAAAACCAGGTCAGAGAATCCTGGACAAAATATTCTAAGCAAAGGGAGTGTAAACAAAGCCTCTGAGAAGAGACAGAATTTGATTTATTTGAAAAAAATGTAAGCAGCTCACTGCGGCTGGGGCACTGAGGTAGTGGAGAGATTAGGCAACAGACCACAGAGCCTCCAGCAGCAGCAGCTGACTTCCTGCACTGCCCCAGCTGGTGAGGCCAACATTCACCAGCCATGGGCTAGAACAGTCACAGGGCAGTCAAAGCCTCAAGATCTAACAACTGAGTAATGACACAATAACTGTAAACCAGAGGAATGGGGGTAAGTACACTTACCCTGCAAAGGGATGCACTTTCAATCTGTTTCACAAACTTTAGGCAGACAGTGTCATGCCATGTACTTGAAACAAGATAATCAGCTAAATTCCTTAGTTAAATAGTTGTTGTTTAAAATATCTGTGTGCCCATAGGTAGCAAAACACACAGAAAATTCCTTGACTTTAATATGCTACGACTAAGTAGATTAAAGTGCTTAAATCTGTCAGAGAAATTTCATATTCACATTTTATTTAATGTGAAAAACATAACTGTCACTTTAAGGTCCCACTCTGGTGGAAAAGCTAAACCCCATAATCTTCCAATGACTGTAATTAGTCAAATTTTCTTTATTCCAACACAGATTTTCTTATATTTTCTTATATTTCTTATATTTTCCACATAAATAAAGGGTGAAAAATCAGTGTTCTGAGATTTTTTAAAAAATCACGTTAGAAGACATCATGTATTCCTTTTACAGTGTTTTTATTCATGCAGATTTGCAATTATTTTAAAGAGCATTTTTACTAATTAATTAGACTATAAAAAATGTACAGAAAGTTTGTACCATGAAATTATGTCCCTAAGTAATAAAGGTGCTCAGTAATGGAGAGAGAAAGAAGCTCAAAAGGGTCACCGCTCAGCAACCTCTCATAACTAAAGAGCAGAACACAATCTGTTATCTGTGAAAATGAAGAGACGTCATAAAGTGCCTTTCAAATATTCCCTATTACAAAAGAGAATGCCTATTAAAATGCCATATTTTATTCTATATAAAACATCCCTTCTATCCACTCAAAAACTTAAAAATTTTTTTTGCTTTAAGATAAAAAAAAGGCCATATCCCCAAGATAATAGTTTGTGCAAATGATCTCAGTACAAGATCCAATGATCTCCATTATGTACTGTTCTTACTGAAATCCACCTGCATGTCCCAGAGCAATTTACTAAACTTCACTGTTGATTAGCCTATTCTGTAGTAAAATTCATCAGCAACACACAAAAGACAGAGAGCAAAACAGTCCTCACAAATATACTTTGAAATAGGTGTACTTGAAATACAAATATAACTTTCCAGGCCATTATTTTTCCTAATGACTAAACTCTATATATAAAAAAAATTTTTAATGGAGGTTTTCAGATCAGTGATGTGTGCAGCCCATTCTCATGACATGGTCATTTAAACTTCTCATCTGCAAAACATAATGCAATAAATTATCAAAAAGGGGAGGAAAAACCCAGAAAGCCTCATCATGTTTACAAAACAAAAACCATAAGCATTACAAAACAGATGGTGCGAAATAGTAAAAGTCTACATTTTGCTGGATAATCTTTTAACTCCTCTTGATCGTAAAAGTAACACAGGATGAATTTAGAAAATATAGAAGAGCAAAGGAAAAAATAAACTGCTATAACCCTACCATTCAAATAAACTTAATATTTGGGGACTTTTTTTTCACTTCTTTCTATTTTCATATTTTTTCTACTATATAAAAATAACAGGTATAAGAAATACATGCGCCTGCATACTTTAAAAAAAAAAATTAGGATATTATATTTGCATTTTTATTTTTTGCTTACTTAATATGTAGCATGTTAAATATATCTCTGACTTTAAAAATCCTTCTAAAACATGATTTTAAAAACATACTATTTCACCATTTCCCTACTTTGGGACATTCGGGATATTTCCAATTTTTTGACATCATAAACAAGACTATAATAAAAATATTAAAAACTCACAGCACTTCTGATTATTTTCTTAAAATGTATTTCTAGAAATAGAATTACTATGTTAAAAGGGAATTTGAGAAAGCCAAGAATCACCCCCGGAACTAAACAGTCTTGTTCTATCAGATAGTAACCTATTCAAAATTCGCAAAACTTACAATTACATGGTATATATTTAAAAATAAAATTTTAAAGTAAAAATATATTCAATGTCTAAAAAATTAGAAAGAATAGGAAATAGAATCACTATTATGTTGTAGTAAATACTCTTGGAAAAAATTAATTTAACTTTTAAATATCCACCTTTTAAAATTTTCTGATACAAACAAGAATTTTGTTATATTTCCAGAGATAATCATTGGTTCTTGAAATGCAAGAAAAAGGCTAATTTCTTAGAAGTTCAATCCTAATACCTTGAAATAAAAAGGTAATGTTTAAGATTTTCAAAATAAAAACAACTTTTCTCTTTCCAATACTTACTCAGTATGGGAAAGTTTCATTTCTTCCCTTTGTCTTGCAGAATAATTTAGGTTCCCACCTAAAAAAAAAAAAATAAGCATAGAATCTTTTCAATATAGTTGTTATAAGTAAAATTCAAACATGCACACAAGCACACGCACATACACACACACACTTTCACTGATACACCTTTAAGTAACAGAAAATGCTATGGAAGATAAGAAAAAAAGAGTTTATCTCCTGGAACCTTCCCAAGGGAAAAAAAGTTTTTTAAGGAATTCTTTTATGATAAAAATAGTCAGTCCTTAATTTTAGCTTCTTTTTTTTTAAAGTTTGGACTTATATATTACCTCAGGTTTTCTTACTTGGGACATTGTATTAATATTCAGTAATACTGAAAATTTAGAGAAATTAAAGGAAATGACCTAAAATTATTTAAACAGCATGCGTAATAATCCTTCTAAATACATAACAACCTTTAAGGCTAAGGCCAGTTAGAAAAATTGATAAAGGTAACATCAAAATCTTATAACGGAAAAGGAAAAATGCAGGTAGTACACGATTATCCACAAAAGAAAAAAATCTGCAATTTCCCATTCTGTATCAAATACCTTCAACCTGAAAATGAGGTTGAAATAAATTTATTTATTTATTTTTAATATAAAACAACACTGGAAGGGCTTTAGGTTCTAAAGATACTTCTTTGTGCTAATATAAAACCAACATCTAAAATTTCATAAAACTTACATTGAACTGGCCAGAAAGAACATGACAATTTTAATGAATGTGAAGGTCCAGAATCATAATTATGTTATATAATGGAATGTTTCCATAACTTTGGACAGAATGTCATTATTACTTGAGTTAAAGCATTAACTGGCCCCTAAAATGACATGCAGACAATCTAGTGAACCCACACGACTATCCATCATGGTGTAAGAATACAATACCTGAACTTCTACTTACCTTGGGCACGATTCACCAAATAGAGTAAAACCACAGCTAAAAGTGACACTGGAAGTGAAAAAACATAGGGCCCTTAAAAACACGTACTTCTTCCCAATGACTCCGACGTAACCACAATCACAAAGTAAATCTTAGACACATCAAATACATCTTTAGTAACTGGCATTTCAAAATAAAAACACTACTTACATTATTTTTAAGTGAAAAATCTTCAGAGAACTACAAAGTCACCAGCTGGGAAGCTCTGATACACAGGCCAAGAATTAGGCAAATCTGAGACATACATCTCAGAGATTTGTTTTGAAAGAAGGGAAAACAGCCTGGCGAGTGTGGTTCTGCAGCTGAGTGTCGACCTAGGATCCAGGAGATCGCGGTTCAATTCTAGGTCAGGGCACATGCTCAGGTTGCGGGCCCGATCCCCAGTAGGGGATGTGCAGGAGGAGGCTGATCACTCTCATCACTGATGTTTCTCTCTCTCTCTCTCCCTTCTCTCCCTTCCTCTCTCTGAAATAAAAATATATTTTAAAAAAAATAAAAGGGAAAACTGAATAGCAATAAAACCTAAAACCATAAATATGAACATTCTGCTACATATTAAAAGAAATTAAATAAATGTTGCCACATGGCACACTTACAAGACACACAGGCAATGAAGAAAACTTCTAAAAACAAATATCCCCGAGCATCCAGTATCATGCCAGCAAGGATGGAAATGATCGCCAAGCCAAGGTTCTGAATGGACTGCATGCTATAATTTAAGAAATAAAAACACATTTCTATTTCAAAAGTCTCCATACAGAGTAATAATTCACTATAAATATTAGTATCTATAAACCACACAGTATTCATGTTCAGAGACATTTTCAACCAGGGATGACCTGATTAGGTTTTTCTTATCCCATGACTGTTTCCTCTACCAGAGTGATGCTCAAAGGTAAGGAAGCTTTCCTTATTAAGTGCACTATGAACTCAAAACCTTCCTGCTGAACGAAGAAAGGGCTAAGTGAATACCAACCCCCTTTGCCTTTCGGGTCAGAGACCAGAGCTCAGCTTCTCACTGAGAAGCCCTCAGGTAAACAGGCAGTGGGGTGATAATGGCAGCAATCACCTCTGATGGGTTAGCTTAACTCCAGCTCTCTTGCTGGAGGCTGGCAGCATTTTCCTTGCCACCACAGTATCATAAATAGATCAGCTGACACTTCTAGTTAGTTCTAGTTTCAGAGCTATCCCAGAGCCTAAAGATGACTAGACTGAGGAGACCTGGAGTTTCATGTGGTAATTAAGTTGTACAATGAAGAGAGACATTATATGATCCACGGTGCAAACACTTACAAGCCATATGCAGTTCCCAGTTGATGTTCAGGAACTACAAATGCTACCATTGGCCACAATGCACAGGCAAGCAATGAATAGGACAGTCCCAGGAGACACTGTGGAAAGCAATACAGAAAAGTGTAAAAGTCTTATAATAACCAAAGTGACTTTCCTTTGATGCAGATTAGCAATGGCGACACGATAGTTAATATGTGAATATTTATGCAAATTTTATTGTAATCAGGTTAAAACTCATATTCAATACAAAAAGAGTCCTGGACCTCCCTAACAGTATCCCTCTAGTGACAAAATACATGCACACTGTCTTAACAACTTTATATATATATATAAAACTGCTTGGGCCCAGGGTACAGTTAAGAACCAAGAAAGAAAACAAAGCTAATTTGCAAAAAATTATTACCACTGTTTTAGGCAAGTTACTTTTCCAGTTTTTATTAGGAATTACAAATTAAGCAACTAAGGCAACATCACATCAATAGTTCATTATCTTACCTCTTGGTCATCAACACCCAACTGGAGTGCAGGGCAAAGAACCAACAACCACTGCTTGTTAAACATTACCTAATGCTGACTTTTTCCTCAATTAAAAAAGGAACCTTACCACTTCAGTTCAAATAAGATTTAGACCTATCATGTGGGCAAAACTTAAAATAATGCCAATGTCCAACAATGGCAAGAATACTAGAAACAGATTCTTATATTACTGATAAAGCTCTAAGTGAGTAGAAAGTTACTGAATATCTATCAAGATGTCAACTGCGCAAAGCCTCTACTAGAGCATTTCTACCTCCAGGAAACCCGTCCTACAGAATTCTCACCTATATGATCAAGATGTTCTTTTATTAACAGGAAAGGAAAAGAGCACTTCAGCCTGTAGTCTTAAAAATGACAATCTGAAGAACAATAACAAAAAGCTGATGAGTTCCTTATCACTTTTTGACCTACTAATAGTCAAAGACAAGAGGATGTGAAATCATGTATATTGGGCTGATAGATTTTTTTTTTGTCACCTATGATGGAATGACCACTTTTCACGAAGTACAGAAAGATGAATGGAACTAATAAGAATTTGGGCCTTTATAAGACTATTTTATTTCAAATTCTATTTCAGCATTGAGGTTACTCTATTGAATAAACCAAATAAAATTAAAAATATCTGATGTATTAATAATCAACACTTATATACTTTAAAATAGTTATTTTGTGGAAATCAAAATCAAGTCATTGTTTCCCCACTGTCCCAAAGCACTGCTATTGGACGAGCTGAGTGTGGCTCCTGACATGAAATTTACACAGTCCTCCCTGGACCCCGAGCCCCCCAGGTGTTAACAGCAACATTACCATAGCAATCCAGGGGTTCCACAGTGTAAAGGCCAGCAGCATGTGGGAAGCAAGAGTGGTCACCACTGCACACAGAACCCAGATGATGTTCTTCCCTATTTTATCCACCAGGAGCCCAAATACTGGGGACATGGGAGCTGATATGATATATACAACACTGCCCAGAGAACATAAAAGATATTATTTAATGAAATGTATCACAGCCAACAACAAAAAAATATCCAAGAAGTTCCTAAAACCATCAGGCAAAGCAAACCCTAGCTCATTTAGTTTAACAATCTTCTAAAATGGTCACTGGTAAATATAAATATAAAGATTTAAAGAGTGGTGCAAGATTTCTCTGGTTTTCCATTAATGCAAAGATGGCTACTCAGGATCAAGTCCCAATATAATATTGGCGTCACAATGTGGATGTTACACCACATATATCTTAGAGCATTTGGTTACAATTAAAGACTCACACTAGGCACACAACAAGCACTTATAGAATTAATGAAATACCTGTTAATAGCACTTGCTGCCTGGGATGAAAATCCAAATTTCTCTGTAAAGAAAACTCTAAAATAGAGAGAGAAATAAGCACTTTAGAGAGAACTACTCTGTTTTTAAAAAAAAAAAAATAAAGACAAAATAAAACTGAATACAAATAATTCTTAGTCAACTTTTCCTTCTTGATACTGTTATCCCACCTTATTTGATATTATTCATCTTCAAGTAACTAGCTAAAGCTTTAGTGTTTATTATATAAATATTTCACTAACTAAATAAAGTATACTGATGCCTGTTCTTCCCCCTTGTTAACATATACCATAAACAGTACACACAGGTTTTCAGAAAACCAAAGCATTACTACAGGGAATCAAGAAAGCTGCTTTTCCTTAACAGCAGTACTGAACAGGTTCTGCTATATAATGCATAGGGTTTTTGTCTCAGTTACTTAGAGTGACAGCCTGAATTTAAAGGTTATAATTACAAGCACACACCCCCCACCAAACACATTCACACTCACACACTGTTCTGTTTAAGCAGCTGTCAAAGAAAAAAGGGAGAGGTAGAAGATAAAGCAAAGAAAAATTTGACTTGAATCCTGAATTTAAATGTGGAGGAATTATAGTCCTAAGAAATAAAAATATGCCCAATCACTATGAGCCAATACACTGTCTCCATTCTCAGTGACCAACCAAGGGATAAAGAGCTAATTTTTAAAAATACTAATCTAAAATAAAGCATTAAAATAAACCAATATTTTGAATCAAAAACTGTTATTAGGCATTTCTTCAAAAAAACAAAAAAAGTATTAAACCTGAAGCTAAGAAAATCAGTTATATCCCAGGAAATGAAAGAATTCCTGTGTATATATAAACTATAACGAGAGAAACAAGATTTACAGCTAAAAAAATTACACTTATGTGATTGAAATCTCATTATAATTTAGCCAACAGAAGTGAAACACTAGAGATTACTCACTTCCCTAGTCCAATAAAAGGGAATATGGCCACGTAATAGCAGACACAGATGATAAAGATGAGCCACAGGGCCAAGGAGAAGTCCTTCACGTCGGTCAGCTTAATAACATCACCTGGGGGAGGAATGGGAGGAGATATATCGGTATAATTCTGCATAGCTAAGCCAAGAGTATTTTTCATTTATCATGGGATTAACCTTTGCATTTCAGTTAAAAAATACACTTCTCAGTAATTATTGGGACATAGTTTCTGGAATAACTTACAAAGATGTTAAAAAAGCAAAACGTAAGGTCAGTATCTACCTACCTAATGATAAGGACACTCATCATTTTGCAAATATACACAGAACATATAAGGAGGGAAATGTCCCCCCAAATTTAGACAAGTGGAAATAGATTTGGAAATAAAAGATCAAAAAGCATGTATTAAGCCTCACTGGGTTTCCAACACTGCATTAGGAACCTGCACAATTGTACATTATTTCAAAGAGGCCATAACTCCCAAAGTCCCACTTTCCTCACAACTAGATTTACCTGTTTTTCCTTGTTCTTTATGAAGAATTCTTTCTGCTCTCTGATCCAAGTAAGCAAGGGCCAAGGCACAAATCAGTGAAAGAATACAGGTTATACCCCCTATAATTTAAAAAGAGACATTTTAAAAAGAGAGCCGGACTGAAGGTTCCTTAAAGCACAGCACATCACAGTAACAGCAGAAAACTCAGCAACCAAAGGGGATAATATTTAGACACACATAAGAAAAGCCCACAATTACTAAGTGAGGACAGGAGGAAGGGAAGAGCATATGGTAAGTACTCAACAAACAATAGTTGCTATTACTATTTATTTCCCAGTAGAAGGGTGGAGATTAAATGGAAAAAACTAGAAGCTAGTCTAGCCCTCTAATGTGGAATACAAACTGAAGAGAGCTGATGACTAGCAAATTAGTCTTCCTTCCTTAATTCAGTCTAAGCAGCAATTAATTACTACTGGATGCCGGGGGGGGGGATTATAAAAGCAAAGTCTGATTCTGTGATCACTTCATCTTCCTTCTGATGCCTTCCCAAAGTCTGTCACCCTTGCTCCTACCCTCTGGCAGTCCGAGGGCCCCACCTTCCCAGAGCACAGGTCGCTCGGACTCTCTTTCCTTGGTGTATTCAACACTGCTCACTAATGCTGACCTCATATCATTACTGTAAACCAGATAAAAAGTGAATAAAGTTTACACTTGTCAAGAATTTTAAAAAGAAGCTAGCCGGGTGGCTCAGACAGTGGGAGTGCCATCCCATACACCAAAAAGGTTGCAGGTTCAATCCCCAGTCAGGGGGCATACAGGAGGCGGCAACAGATCGAGGTTTCTCTTTCACATCAATATCTCTCCCTCCCTCTCCCTCCCTCTCTCTCAAATCAATAAATATATCCTTGGGTGAGGATAAATAAAAGCAAAGCCTAGTAAAATAAATGCATCTTTCACTGGCTGACATAACACAGTCCACTTGAAAACTGCTGAAATGACAGACAGTAGACATTAGTTCTGGTTCTGCCACTAACAAGTTGAATGACCTTAGACACAGAACTTGACCTCTCTGGGCTTAAATTTCCCCATCTGTAAAATAAGACACTTTGATTCATAATGGCACAGGTTTTCTCTGGCTCTAAAATTCTTTGAAATTCTCACTCTCCATCACATAGGGAACTAGAAGGAACACTGAAGAGCACTTGAGAGTACAAAAGGTTTTAAGCAAGGCAAAGGATTTGAGCGGGAGAGAGAAGGAGTCTCTAGGTACAAGTCGCCTGTTTCGGGTTGCCACTCGATTGTCCTCTTTTTACCAGGCTATATCAAGGAATTATAAGGAATAAAAGATGGCACAGGACATTCGCCCCATCTTACAGGTCTCTCTAGGCCTCTACACATCATGGGGCTCAGTTAGACAAATTCAGTGCTCAGAGCAAAAGCACGGGTAGTGAATCCAGAGGGCCTCATACATTTCTCAGCAACCCACCCAGAAACCAGCACAGTGGAGCCTTAGCTAAGAGAACTTAGGGCCAGGAGGGACCTGTATACCTTTGGTCAAACACCCACAATTTTACAGAAAAGAAAACTGAGATGCAGAGATTAAATACTCAGAAACCTAAGCATATACGTTCTTTTTTACAGGCAAAAGGAAAGAAACCATTATTTGTACAGTTGATCCTGGAAAATATACGGCATTTGTATGATGCTGTCTTTTAAATGCCGTCTTTTAAAGGTTAACTTCTTTGTCCAGGATGACAAAACTGTTAGAGCCAGGACTAGAACCCAGACTCCTAACCCCCAACTTGGTGGATTTCCCATCACATCATATCATCTCTACAAAATCTAAGCTCTACACGTATAAATTCCTGATTGTTTTCAAAGTTCTCACATACATACTTTCAGTCATCAGGACAATGCTGAAGTAAACAAGAGTGGGACAAGATCCTCCTTTTTAAGAAAGTGGAATTGAAAACACAAACAGCGTGAATGCCTTGCTATTTCTAATTAGGTCAAAGAACTCGTGAACTGTGTAGGCAAAATTATAACCGACATGGTCTAACCCCAATTCCAGTGTTCTTTCCTCTCTGCCATGACACTGCCTATGACACGCTTTCAGAAGAGACAAAACGTTGGACATCAGGATTCACTAACCAATCATAAGCGTGACTCCAAGGGTTGTGTGACCAGCAGAACCCAACGAGGCTTCAACCTTGGAATACAGCCATCCCATGAGGTTCATGTTCACTGTACTTCCCTGAAATGGAAGGAAAAGAAAAAAAATTAACCTTTCATTTACAGTCCTGCCTTGTTCAAAAAATAGGACGTAAGGTGGCTTAGAGAATAGATATATAGCACTCAGATTAATCAGAGATAAAAATTTTTAAAACACTACAGAGGAAAGAACTAACAAACTAAGATAAAGCCACAGATAAGATTACTACACACACAAAAAAATGTAAATTTATAGAAAATGCTAGTATTCAAACAGCACAGTACATCTATAACTTCTTAGTAGCCAAAACAAAAATGAAACATGAATTACAAAATTCACAGGGTACCTATGACAAAATAAACCTTAGCTGAGAAAAAGCTCAGCTCTTCCTGGTATTGACATCTGGAAAAAAAATTCGTCCTCTGTCCACAAGATGATGGTAAAAGTTACAGATAATATCCTAATTCATTTATCCATTCATGTAGCAGTCATTGAGCCCTGATTATTCGCCAGTCACTGTTCTAGGGGTTGGATATATAATAAAGAACAGATGAAAAAAATTTCTAGCTCTCACAGGGGTAGAAGAGGTAAAATATGTAGTACATTAAATAGCACTTAAAAGTGCTTGAAAAAATAAAGAGAAAATATAAAGCAGGGAAGGAGAATATACAGGGGCAGAGGCCTCACGGGGAATGTGACTTTGGACTAAAAACCTGAAGGAAGTTAGCTGTGAGGACATCTGGGGGAACAGCAGTCCAGGCATAAGGAACAGCCAACGCACAGACCCCAGAGGGAGGCTGCCTGGTGTGCTCACGGAATGGCAAGGAGGCAGAGGCTGGAACAGTGTAAAGGAAGAGAGATGAGATAACATCTCAGAGAGGAAATGGCAGGGGCAGGAGTGAAGGGGAGATGTTATGGGTCATAAGGATTTTGGCTTTTACTCTGTGTAAGCGAGCCAGCCATTAGAGTTTTGAAAGAGAAGTGAACAAGCCATGTATGTTTTAAAAGACCCACTCTGGCTGCCTTATCCAAAAAGACTGCAGGTGGGCATGAAGGCAGAAGCAAGGACGTCATCAGGTGGTTACTGCAACAACCCAGAACAGAGACGTGGGCTTGGACTAGGGTGGCAAAAATGGGCAAGTGAGAAGTGGCGGGAATATGGATATATTTTGATGATCAAGCTAATAGGACTTGCTAAAGAAAAATACATGGAGTGTCGGGGGAAAAACAAAAAAGGAGTTTCAGATGACACTACAGTGTTTGAGCAACAGGAAGAAAAGTGTTGCCAGTAACTGAGGAGAGAACCAGCGCATGAGCTGGTTTGAGAGATGGCAGGCAGAATATCAGAGCTGGGTTTTGGCCATATCAGGTTTCACATGCCTACTAGACATCCAAATGGGAATGTCAAGTAGGAAGTTACATACACCTGTACAGAACTCAAGGAAAGGTCTGGACAAGTGATGAATATTCAGGAGCAAAGACATGCTATCTAAAACTTTGAAAGTAAGTAAGATCACCAAGGAAATGAGCATGAAAAGAAAAGCGAAGATGATGAATGACCAAGCTCTGGGGCACTCCCACATTTACAGATTGAGAAGACTAAGGTGGAACTAGCAAAAGAGACAGAGAAGCAGCGGGCAAGAGGAAAACTGAGACTGTAAGGTTCTGGAACCCAAGAGAAGAAATCAAGGAAGGGGGAATGTCAACTGTGCTAAATGCTATTGACAGGTCAAACACTAAGAAATGAGGTGGCTGTCTGAGATATCCAGCTCCTCCTCAGGTCTTCCCGCCATTCTAAGAATCCCCACTGTGCATCCTAGAAGCTCCTGAGATTCCTTTCCAGAAACTTAGCGCTCCTCCATACATGGCTGAATAGATTATAACAAGTCTGTGGCCGCACAGAAAAGAATATGAAAATCACTAGTAGCGTCACTGAAAATGAGTCTCACTCAACTGGTCCTACTTCCTCCTTTGAGAAGTTATTACACAATGAGATCCACAAATTGCCACACGTGTGTCTTGACTTACACAAGATATATAATGAAGTACTCCAAATATCCTTGCAGATAAAATTTAGAAAACATGGGAAACCATGCTAATTATCAGAGAATTATAAATTAAAATAATATCTATGTTTCCTATCAAACCGGTAAGACTTTTTAAAGTAGTAATAGCCTGTATTATCAAAGCTATAACAAAAACGATCCTCCCGTATTCCACAGATGGGGATGTAAATATCTGTGAGGATATTGTGAAAGTATGTCTCAACAGTCCTAGAATCCCTAGCGAACCCTCTGACTCAATAATAATTCCATTTCTAGCAACCTAGCCTAAGGAAACAGAGATGCAGACACGTTTTAGAGAGTGTCACACAACAGCACTGTTTACAACAGTGGAAAATTAGACCCTACGTGTACAAAACATGCTATATACTTCATATGATAAACTATCACATTAAAAGCTTTTTATGCAGGACTTCTTCAGCCCTAAGGATGTATTACAAGCATTTTCATGCCATTTATTAGTCTAAATCTTGATTTTTAATGGCAAATTAAAAAACAAAAATTCTATTCATAGGAGTTAATGAGGAAAAAAACTAATGAGGTTTGAGACTGCCAACACCTGATGGATACATTAATAAAAGCATAATGTTGTTCCCTTGTGTACCCTCTATCAGACCAAGCCTGAAACACCATGATCAATTTGCAGTTTCAGATTTGAGGAGGAGTACTGACTGGCTACCTGCGCTGAGTCCAGAAATGTGTGAACACCATGGTCGGAGAGCTGAAATCCATGTAGTGTGGCTTAGAAAAGCACAGCAAATGAGCATGTCTGACCAAGAACTTAAGAGCTGTCTTCATCAGCAAAGCGCTGGCACATAGCAAGGAGCTAAAAATTAACTACAGAGGGCAAAAGTCGGAGCAATCGGTAAAAGCTACTTGTGTAGGCAGATTTCATCTCTATGTGAAGTTGAGCTTCATAAAGTTAACTGAGGTAGATGGGCTGCCTCATCACACAGTGAACTTCTGATCACTGAAAATACTCAAGCAGAGCTAGGAGATGATCGTATGTGAAGATTCCATAGCAGAGATGCTAAAATGGGTATGAAACTAGACAATGAAACTTACTAAGATCCATTCCAAAGCTCAGATTCTTTGAACTAATGAATGTTCATTTAACCATTTTAGCCAGTTTCCTAAATGAAATAAGGTTAGAAATCCCTTAATTAAAGTAAGGTAAATGCTATACTATGGGCCAGAGAAATATATTAAAAAATCAAGACCTAATACACCCACACAAACATCTCATCCTGAAATTTCTAAGCGATAACTGTGAGATTCAATCTTTTGCTTCCTATCTGGCTTCATTAGGTTTGTGATACTTACAATTCTCGCCATGCTAAGTTGAAGTCCAAACACCAGGTTTAATTCTTTGCCTTTAAACCAACTCACAGCATATGTGTTCTGGGCAACTGCTAAGGACTCCCCACCAATCCTAAAAATGAGAAAAGTCAAGCTTTTAAAGAAAGACCAAAGTTAGAATGCAGTAGATTTAAAACTCTGACAACCCTCCTATCAAAAGGTAGAGTCGCTATCTCCTCCTCTGAATCCAGGTGGGCTGACTGCTTCCACCATACAATATAGTAAACGTTGCGCCGTGTGATCCCAAGACTGGTTCATAAAAGATGACATCTGCTTTTTCACTTAAACACTCCCACTTGGAGCCCTGAGCAACCTTGTAGAAGTCCAACTTCCCTGAGTACACCACGCAGTGAGAAAGCTGAGCCACGCAGAGAGGCCACACTTAGGCGTCACGCCAACAGTGCAGTCTTCAAGCTATCCAACTAAGTGCCAGAGGTGAATCAACGAGGTTTCAGATGACTCCAGTCCACGTAACTTTCCAGCTGAGGCTCGAAACAGCAGGTACACGGACAAGCCGTCCATGCTGTATCCCGTCCAAATTCCTGACCCACCAAGTCCACTGCAGAGTTTTGGGGAATTTGATATGCCGCAATAATAACCATGGCAGGCAATAAAAGGACTCTGGGTTACCACATCACCATCTATGCTACATACAATGTCCATGTGAAGAGTGAGCCATGCTTTGTGAAAACACAAACATTCGCTTTTCAGGCCCATACCTTCCCTGTTCAACATTCTTCTACTTCCTGGCTTTTAATTTTCCTTCTGGGAGTTCTACATATTGACCGCCCTCCCACTCCCAAGCCTTCAGTGAAGAGCTGCTCCTCCATATCCTAACACTGAGCCTTGTTTACCCTGTCCTAGTTCAAGAATAGTTCCGCTCTCTTCTGCTCATCCAAATCCTACACTGATGCCAAGGCCCACTTTGTCCATGAAGCCAATTCTGACCACAGTTCCATCTGAATCCCTTTCTATTTTTATATACATTTTGTTTCCTTCTCCCTCACTTAGAACATTTTTCGGAGTACGTCACATGTCTATATGTCCCCGGTATCAGTGCAAAGACTGAGTAAGTTATACTTTTAAGTTAAAGAATGAATATGTTCTATCATCTGTGTCCCCTCAGATCAGGAAGCCCAAGGCTGGACTCAGAATGGGCTTACTGAACAACTCTGAAATTCATAAAGCTCAGCCGATTGATATTGTGCTCATTCAAGCCTTTTCAACAGGGTTCAAAAGGACCTGTACATTACCCACTAAGAAACAGCAAAATGTCCATGAATCACCAACCTAGAAAATGACTGTCTGCACTATAATACTATAAATGAGGTTTAAGTCATAGTTTCAATACAACAGAAAAACAAAACACCTAGGAAAAATGTCATTTCTGGATGACTAATATTCAAACCCCACACAGAGTTAACTATGGCCACCCAAAATTGTTTCTTACTTTAAAGGAAAATTAAGACAAATAATAAACAGTCTTATATGTGGCTACAATTCAAGAACTTGAAGTAATTCTCCATAAGATACAATATATTTTTTGTAAATCCTTAATAAACTGATAGCTGAACACTAAAACAATATATTAGGGCAAATGAAATTATGCGTAACTTACCCAAACACAAACCTTCCAAACTCCATGAGCCAGAAAGCATTAAATATTCCACCCAGAGCAAAAATAACCTATAATGTAGAACCAATGAAAGAGTAAATTCAAGGTATTCAAGAGAAATAAGTAACTTCTGATGCATCACAACTTCTACAATAATTTTAATATTCCTTGTTAGTAAATCTGTAAAATTAAAACATTCAAGTTCATTGTCTCAGCCTTAAAATGGATTATGCCTTCTAGTATATGGGCATTTGGGAACCCAGCTTAATTAAGTTAGGTATTCATTAAACACATCTTTGCCGAAATTAGAAAAAATTCAAGTCACTATCACTTAATAACTGTTTTTTCTTCCTTACCTGTCCAATGCAAACGAAGCAGCTAAAAATAATGGTGCCCCATCTGTTGGGAGGGGGAGAGAGAGAGAATATGAATTAAGAATATGTCAGTCACCATGTCCTTCAGTAATGTTCTCTTTGACCTCCCTGCATTCCCACCAAGGAAAGAAAAATGAAGCCTGGTCTGCCTCTGAGGTCAGCAGCTTTTTTAGGATGAAAGCTAATTTGCAGAAGTCTTGACTTCTGAGGGGATTCCAGGCATTAGTAATGGCATGTGTTTGTTTAAAGCACTACCATCTCTTAAACAAAGCTTGTTAAATAATCTTCATGAGGTACCCAGGGCTCCCATTTAAAAATGGATATTCTTTATAAAATTCCTATTAATACCTGAAGATTAATTTCAAGGAATGCCAGATTAAGTAATTTTAAGTGGTTATAATTCTTGATACCTAAAAACTCTTTTTCAAAGAAGAAATATCAACCATATTAATACAATTACAAATCTGTTTACTCAAACATTCCACACTTTGAATATTTGATTAGTGTTTCCCCAGAGTAGTAAAATGCCAGTGTTAGAAGTCCTTAGGAATAAAGGTACTTCCAAAATGCAAATCCCTCTCACCACCCTTATGAAATGGCTACACCACTTTCAGCAATGGAAACCCACGATGGTCCCCATCTGCAACATAGTAAGTGGAATCTGTCCCCCTGAAGTTTCCAGCCAATTCTATCCCTTTAGATCAAGCAAAAGAAATTTGATTCTTTCTTAATACCCTAACTCTTCAAAATTTTTTAGTTTCCAAGTCTAAACACTCAGTTTCTTTAATTCTTTTCCACCAGACATGGTTGGAAGGCCCGTCATCATTTTGCCCTCTGCCTTCTGAAAATATTCCCATTCTACATCTCTTAAAGCCTCCACTGCCAACACACACACACACACAAGGGTGAAAAGTGACAAAGCTTATAGTGTTCTTCCTTCTCTAACAGATGTGGTCACAAAAGTTCAATGCCCAAAGAAAGGCAGAAAAAGGAAGTCTCGCTAGAGAGAGGCAAATACTACATATGTGCCAATTACTGTACATCCATCTTTCATTCGTCGCAACCACCCTGCAAGGCAGAAATTATTATCCATATTCTACCAATGAGGAAACTGAAGCTCAGGAAGCCAAGAACAGCTCGGAAGATCTGGGAAGTTGAGCAAGTGGCAGCAGTGGAATTCAGACTGTGGCCTACCTGATCCCAAGTGAGGGCATAACTACGTTACCTTATTTCATGAGTCCCAACCTTAATTGAAGCACCAACCTAGTTTCAAAAATCAATTCCAGAGAGATAAAAGTATCTTTTTTAAAAAAACTAATGCATGCCTGGCAGGGTGTGGCTCAGTGATTGCTCAACAACCTATAAACCAGGAGGTCTCAGTTCCATTCCTGGTCAGGGCACATGCCCAGGTTGGGGGCTCAATCCCCAGTCAGGGGCATGCAGGAGGCAGCTGATCAATGACAACTCTCTCATCATTTATGTTTCTCTCTCTCCCTCTCTCTTCCTCTCTCTGAAATAAAGAAAGATATATTTTTAAAAAACATGCAGCCCAGGCTGGTTTGCTCAGTGGTTAGTGTTGGCCCGTGGACTGAAAGGGCCCAGGTTCAATCCTGCCAAGGGCATGTACCTCGGCTACAGGCTCACCCTTGTCCAGGCGTGCGGGAGGCAACCAATCACTGTGTCTCTCTCACATCGATGTTTCTCTCTCCCTCTCTCCCTCCCTTTCGCTCTCTCCGAAAAGAAATGGAAAAATGTCCTCGGGTGAGGATAAAAACTTAAAATTTAAAATTTAAAATTTAAAAAAAAAACCTACTACAGATTATTACAGCAATACAGGATTTTATTCAGTTCTTTGTAGAAATTTAATTTAGTTCTGTTTCCCTAATAATCAGATTTTACCCAAGCTTACCGTATTCCAAATACTCGGTCTATCAAAAAGCCACCAAGGAAACACAAAACTACATTGGGCCAAGAGTACCAGGCATAGAGCAGCATGAACTTCGTGGTATTCACCTGCATATCCTACATGGGAAGAAAATAAAACTATCTTTTCCAAACAGTTAAGCTTAGTAACTAACCAAAACATTTTTCTTCTGTGTAGGGCAGCAGTTTCTTAACCATTTGTAGACACTTGATTGCTTTGGGATTCTCAGGGCAGCTATGGCCGCTGCCTCAGAAAAGGGTCACACGCAGGGGTTTTTGAGTCCAAATGAGAGGCTTCGTGGAGTCCAGAATGAATCAGGTCGCCCACTATGGAGACCACCTCTGTCGGCATCTGCCTATCTAGTCTATATTCTTATTCCCCCTACACTACCTGCACTGGGGCTCCCCACCACACGGAAAAAATAATCTTAGCCTCCCCCAACTAACTCATACCTTCTTTCCCTTTCATTCTAGAATGTGAAGAGCCAATCTATGCATTTCTCCCTGTCCAAAGACAAAGAAAAGAGACTATCTAAATGCACAAGAAATTGTAACTATCAAATTCATTTTTACAAAATCAGACTAAAAACACTGACATGGACAATCCTCTACAATCAGTATCTGCATTTAAAAAACAAAGTAACAACAAAACATATTTAAACACCTTGCTGACTGGCTATTTCAAACCAGAACTCGCCCATGCGGCCGGCTACTTTGGTCAGTAAGGTGTTTAAAATTACTTAAATTAATGTGAGTGCAGACATGAGTTATCTTGTGACCAGTCAGCAAGGTGTTTAAGAAGGCAAAAAGCCCTGCTACCAAATCATTTGTCATTCAGATGGTCACTCAAAGGGAGAATAATGAGTTATCTAAATTTTGAAACAATATCAAGTTACAAACAAGTGCTACAAATGCATTTTGTGGCCATTCATTCCAACTCAAGAACACTCCTGGCCACACACAGATTTGGTGACTACAGATATTAAAATGGATTCACTGGACACTGTTGCAGGCAAGGTAACCTGAGAGCTGAGGAAGCCTCAACAGCTACACCTTCCCTGAAGCAAACAACGGTGAAAATCAACTTACCCGTTTGACCTGAGTCTGAAGGGCGGCAGGATTATCATAGCAAAAATAGCTGCCTGAAAAAAGGAAGAACAAATATTTTCTAAGTAATAATACTATCCATATGAGAGTTTCAAGTTGCAATTACTACTCAAATGGTGATTTTAAATGTTTATATTTGGGGTTCAAGGACTGACACTATGGAAACTTCTTCTGTCTACCATTATTTTCTAAGCTGTAGCCGAATAACCATTAGAACATGTGCCTGATCATTTACAAACTACTAGTGTGCATATAAAGCAAATATGGGGAACCTAGGCCAAGAAGTTAACCAATAACTAATTGTTCTTGCATTTTACTTTCATGATGCTTCATGTCTAATATTTTCTTAGCATCTTCACAAAGCACCATATTTCCCTTACTTAAAGTTACCAAGACACAGACACACTAAAAATTTCACATCCTCAGCAGTTTCCTAGTAATGTTACCTGAGGTCACCACTTATCTTGAGAGCAGAGGAATGGAGTTTAACTACTTTGACTAATTAATTTAAACAAGAGTTCTAATTATACAAACAGAATGCCCCAAATCAAATAATTTAGCAAACAAATTGCCAGGAGTGAAGAAAAATACAATAGAGTTCCAAAGGATTAAGTAAAAATACAAAAATGTCTGCTGCTGAGTAACAGAGAAGTGGAGCAAGGTTTGACATTCACTCACTGAGATTTATTTCTAAAATACTGTAATTCACAGATATGTGATAGGCTTCAAGATAATACTGCCTCCATTTTCCCACTAACTCTCTAAAAGTATAATTAGAAGCTACGATTCAAAAGAAAAAAATTGTCATTAGAAGGGTATGAATCTGGTTTCTGAAACCCAGGCAAGTAAGTTACGCACCATAAGTTACCAAAAATTATCTGTCTGCTTGAATGGGGTCAATTTTAAGTGCTTTGTGTTGTTCTCTTTTGTTCCTAAACCAGCAAATTGTAGTTCCTGCTTTAATCACTGTTGTAAGGGGTGCAACGATCATGATTTAAAGCTAATGGATGGGCATCCTCTTTCAGAAAAAGGACTGGGAGCCCTGGCCAGGTAGCTCAGTTGGTTAAAGCGTCCTCCAGATGCACCAAGGCTTCAGGTTCAATGTCTGGTCAGGGCACAGGCAAGAAGCAACCACTGAATGTGTGGATAAGTGTAACAACAAATCAATGTCTCCCTCTCTACTTCCCTCCGTTCCTCCCCCCCTCTCCCTCTCTCCCCCTCTCTATCAATTTTTTAAAAAGGGATTGGGGTGGGGTGGAGGCTTAAAAAGATCGGTAAAGAAACTAAAGCCCAAAGCATCCTCCATGCCTACTAATGGATTCCAGCAGTAGCATAGTTACCCACCATAATAATCTTCCTAACTAAACTTGTTGACTACACCAGTTCCTGTGATCCCCCTGAAAAACGCTTTATTACTTTCATACCAAACTAATACTGACTATAGAATTTTGCTGAATAAGTTAGTTGCTGGAACACTGAAAGAAATTTCAAAAATTATCTCAAGAATCTGCCTTCAAAGCCATCCGATTTCCTGCGTGACACCGACCAGGGCCAAGGGGCCCGCAAGCCGGGCCCAGGGAGGCTGCGGCGCGGAGGCGAGCGGGAGGGCGGGGACCGGCGCGTTCACTCTCTCGAGCTACGGGCAGGACGCACTCGTTCACTTTCCGAAACACGGTGAGGAACTTACAGGACGACCAACGAAATGATGGATGATTTTTTTTTAGTCTTTCTCAGGCGGAGCGGGGAGAAGAGGAGGGAAGGGAGGGAGTTCAAACTTTCTGAATTCCTTCCGAGCCGAGCGCCCGGCGAGGAAACTAGCCGGCCTAGAGATTCCGTGGGCCCACGGCCCCGGGAAGCGAGCTGCTGGCCTCCGGGGCTTCTCGGGGCGAAGGGGCGGGGAGGGGAACGCCCAGCTCCGTGCGCCGACCCCCTTTCGGGATGCCCGGCTTGAATGGGGCGCGGAGCTGACCCAGCAGCCGCGCTGAGGCCCGGGGGCCGGTGTGAGCTGATCCCAGGGCCCCGATAGGGACGGTCACGGGTTTTCTCATTG